CGGGGCTCCGCTCCCACCGCCCCGTCCCAACGCCTTTTTTTTGCTGCGCAGCTCCGGAGATGGCTGCGGAGAGCACCGGGGCGGCCCCGGCTGCTGTGCCCTCCTGTTTGGAGGGGAAGGGCCCCGGGGAGCGGGCGGCCATCCTCCACCAGCACCTCGGCCGCAGGGAGATGACCGACGTGATCATTGAGACCATCCAGCCGCGGCCAGGTACCGGCCTCGGGGGGACGAAGCGCCTTTTTTTGGGTCTGCGGTTGTCGCCCACCCCGCTTGGGTGGCAGCCCCTTATTGCGGAAGGGGAGCGCAGCGCTTCCCAGGCGCTGGCCCCCCCGGTGAGAGCTGTCTGTGGGGGTGGGGGTGGTGGAGGTGCTGCTGGGTGCGCGGGTTTTGAGTCAGTCATGCGGTTCGGAAAACAGGTAGGGAAGTTAAGGAATGAGTGTTGGGGTCCGGATGGGAGAGCTGGTTATCGCTGGCAAACGTTTCCCACTCTGTAAAGGGTTAATTTACTTTGGGCTATGCCGCGGGCTGGTTGGCGTTTGCAAGGGCAAACGCCCTGGCCCGTAGGAACGGGACCGTTCAGCTCTGCAGACGTTAAATTCCCTGATAGAGGGCAAGTTTCAAGACAGAAACTCCCAAGTCGTGTCCAGTGTCTGAGCCGCCATCAGAGCAGGGCAGGAGGAGCAGCTGGCTGCCGCGGGGCTCTCCTCGCCCGTGCTCGGCAGACCTGTCCTGGTTGCTTCGTGTTGATGCCAGTGCCTGCTGGGATTTCACCGGGCACGGTACAAAACTCGCCGTAGCTTGATCCGCAGCACCGGGTCCGGGCAGGGGCTTGCACCGGCTGTCTGGCAGCTCTGGAGTTTCTCCTGGAACAGCAAAGATGAGAGGTGTCTCGTTCTGCTGCTTTCCAGGGTTGTAATTTGACTTCTCGGGGTGCTGTTGTGTACATGCAGGCTGTGCTCAGGGAACAGCAGACGTTTCTGATGCGCCATTAGTAATGTGGAAACTTTTGATTTGTAAAAGATGAAACAAAAGCTGCCATGGAAGGAAGAAAATCTTCAGAAGCTGCATCTGCCGAGGACAAAAATAAACATGACGATCAAAGTAAAGAGCGTGAGGCTGCTCCAGACTCGCCTTCAAAACAGCTCCCTGACCAGATTTCCTTCTTCAGTGGGAATCCCTCAGTTGAAATCGTTCACGGCATTATGCATCTGTACAAAACAAAGTAAGAATGCTTGACTAATTGTAGCTCTAGTGGGAACAGCGCTTCTGAATAATGCCGCCAGCCGGAAGGGTGAGTCTGTCACCCCGGGGCTGTGGCTCCTGAGCCTGGACAAACGGGAAGGGTGACTTGCACGCGGGAGGGCAGACGGGTCCTTGTGCTAATGGTGGAGCTTGAGGCTGGCCCGGGTCCCCCAGCTGTGGGTGATGCCGCTCCAGCTGGAGAGGGCTTGTCCCAGGGGCTGTAATAGCATAAGACAAATGCAGGTTCCTAAAAAAGGACATTTGAAAGCAGCTTCTCAAGGGATCCCACAAGTGAATTCTGATCCCCAGGGTCTTGGCGACAGGCCTGGGGAGCTGTCTGAGGGAGGAGGTTTCATCCCGTATTTCAGGGATTACAATTCCATGCCGTTCCCCTGTAATTGCCTGAGAACTTCCATTTCGGGTCTTCCTGAAGGCTATCGGGAGACACCAAATGGGTATTTGAAATACTAACAAACATTGCTCATTTGTTCTAGGAACAGTTCTGAGCATCTGTGGCTTGCCAACTTCAACTGTTTTCATAGAAAAACAGATGTCAAATTATTCCTGACAAAACCACTGAGCTGCCCAGTTTAATCCTTTGCTAAAAAGTAATAGTTTCATGTGGGTATGTTGGACGCTTACCCCAACCCCTTGCTTCTCTTTCTTAATGTCTACAAATGTGCAAAAGAGGATTAAGATTGACAGCAAAGCTGTTGTAGTAACTGCGGCTGTTGGAAGTGTGATGTATCCAGCTCTGCCTTTGTCCTCGCTGAAATGACATGAAGTTGTGTCACTGTTGTCTTATCAGCAAGATGACCTCTTTAAAAGAAGATGTAAGGCGCAGCGCCATGCTTTGTATCCTCACTGTTCCTGCGACGATGACCAGTCATGACCTGATGAAGTTTGTGGCTTCCTTCTATGAAGTAATTGAGCACATGAAAATCATCCGAGATTCCACTCCAAACCAGTACATGGTGCTGATAAAGTTTAGCTCGCAGGTAAGAGCTGGAAGTCCCTTTGCTGAAGAAGGGATGGCGCTGTCATATACAGCTGCTGTTTAGGAGCGCTCTCTGGCTTCGCTGGCCAGCTGTTAGCCAAGATTGCACTTTACCGTCGGCGAAACAGTCCTGTCCTATTGCCCAGAGCTTTCCCGGGGCTGTTGGCTAGGATTAGTCCCACACCTTGGCCTGGAGGCAAGTGTCTGCCATGTTCTAGCTATTCTGTTTCTTGATGGCAGGATATTTAAAAAAAATAGTAAGGATACACAGTTCTCTGCTATCTCAGAGCATATTCAGAAAGGGAGTGATGCGATGCGCTATGCTGAACAGAAAGGACCCAGCAGGGGGGCTTTCTTTGCATTTTAGGAAAGACTTGTTCTGCTTTTCTGAGGAGCTGGGTGGTCTCACAGCCACTGCCAGTACAGTGTGAAAAGGACAGTCTCCCCCAAAACTGAGAGTCTGAGGGACGAGTTGATAACCAGACACCACAGTTTGCTGCTCACGTGTCTTCTTGAACTATGTAGCTTTAAGCATATTAAATTAAATCCCTGCCAATTCTTGTGTGGACCCTCTCACTCGTACCTTCTTTTCTCCCAATTGCAAACGACTGATTTTGGGGTTGGGGAGAGGTTTCCCCCAGCCGTGAATACCGTGTGAGATATTTCCCGTGCCTGTTGTGCAGGTGCAGTATTTGTGTGCGTTTTGTGCCACTTGCTGTAGTGGCAAAGATGCATTTTGTATATCGCCGTGTCAAATTCCACGGGTGGATATCTAGTGCTAAACAGCCTTGCAGCAAATCTGTAAACGTGCACTCAATTCACCCTGAACTTCCTGTTTCTTAGGAAATTCCCTGAAGCCCTGTTCCCCAGTAGCCCCTAAAGGCAGCAAAAGCAAATCTCATGGGCCTTTACGCTTCTGGATGGAGTGACCAGGAATATGGGAGTGTGGCATTCAGCTAATTTGCCTTGATCTGGTGTGATCGTTTGTGAGAGAAAGGATTTGGGGAGGTTACCGAGTGAAAACAGATGATGTGTTTGACGGGTTTTGTTTTGGTTTTGCCTCTTTGCAAGTGACTCTCGGGCATGGTTCAGAGCGTGCCTGAATTGTGACCGGTGAAATGGATCCTTTCCCACAGTTAAATTGTTGTTCCTTTCCCGACGCAAGTATCGGTGTCCTGCAATGTGGCCCTCTTAAATTTTTGCAGAGACCAAATTTGCTCTGCAAATGCACTGAAAATGCTGACAAAGGGCAAAAGAGATGCTGAAGGGAAATCCGTTATTCCT